ATAAAAAAAAAAAAAAAAGCGTGAGGTTCCCCCCCAATTCATAGCGGACCCTTTAGGTCTGGTAGGAATGTTAGGAGAATGACAATTCAAACGCAAAAAAAATAAACGTTATCTTTTACTCTACCCGGCCCTGGATTAGAACCAGCGACCTTGACAATGGCAAACCTGTACGCTAACCACTACACCAGGCCTCAAAATTTCCGCTCGCCCCCTCGCAATTGGCGAGTGAAAATTGCGTGGGGGCGAGTGGAATGTCATCGAGGAGGTGTGTCGGCGGTGGGACCAGAGACGGGACACTCCCACCGCTACAATTGCTCGCTTCTGTTCTCTCTTCTCCTTCGGCCGCTGCAGAGAGAACAGAACTGTAATGTATAATGACTGATGTAGTCATTGACAGCTCAGGGCAGCCAGTGCTTTTAGACCCCGTGACACTGCCCGAGAAAAGAAGGGTGACGTCACCGAGAAAGGCGGTCCGCAATAGATAGAATGCGCCAGGACAGTGTTGCTGAGCTAGGTAGGTCACTTCCTGTATACAGGACATGTTGTTGTGACCTCACTTCCTGGAGACAGGACGCGTCGCCATAGAGAGTGCACAGACGGGCATCCTGGAGAAATGGAGGCGGACGGTCTGCTGCTAGGGATGGAGATGGTGTCCAGTGATGTATCGAAAGTGCAAACTTATCGAGTTGTGGGACCGCATGACTTCCGGTTTCCTCAGAACTACGAGCACGAGCGCCATCCACGGCATTGCCCTATACACATAGACCACAGCAATAAAGTAATAAGGATGACAGTAAGGCAGCACGTTCTTTATCTCAGGTGCCCCACTCAAGCGGCGGCCATATTGAGTGGGGCACCAGAGATAAAGAACGTGCTGGCTTACTGTCATCCTACATCATTGTATTACTTATTGCTGTGGTCTATGTGTATAGGACAATGCCGTGGATGGCGCTCGTGCACAACATGTTTTGTGTGCAAACCTCGTAGTTCTGAGGAAACCGGAAGTCATGCGGTTCCACAACTCGATAAGTTCGTACTTTCGATCGATCACCGGCTCTGGTGTGGGACTGAGCCCGGAACAGAGCACTGCCCTACGGACATTCCTCCTGCTCATCTGCCGGAATGCAAAGTTGTCTGGGGGAAGATCCTTGGAGTCCGGGGGGACTATATCTGCCGGGGCACTGAGGAGGAGGATGCGAGAAACTGCGGGGAGGAAGACTTTCTATAGGTGAGGGGCCCCTATAGATTATATATATCCCCCCCCCCATATACACACCCCACACTGTAAGTTCGCGGGGGGGGGGAAGATATTCTAC